CTTCCCTTCCCTTCCCTTCCCTTCCCTTCCCTTCCCTTCCCTTCCCTTCCCTTCCCATAGCTGGAGTAAGAACCAGCAGTGCTTTTTGAGAAAGCAGAAGGCACGAGAGCCAGAATACTAGAGTGTTTCTGATAAACTCAGGGAGTATGAGGGGGGAGCTCTGGGCTGGGGATCAGCCACGAGTGAAATTGAGGATCTTCATCTGTGCCATGGAGCTGACAGGCCATGACTGGCTGAGTCTGGGATCCCCTTGATCTTTCCTCTGACTGCAAGGAATGAGCACTGCCAGTGTCATGTGTTATGAACACAGTGCTGATGAAATAGGAAGGGAAATGTGCCTTTACTGCAGTGACTCTTGGGTCTGCCTCTCTGTGCAAAAACCTTTAATTGGATAATGCACAACCTTTCCATTAAGTTGAAAAAAGGGCTGAACAGCTTTCACAAAGGAATGAAGTGTTTGTTGGGCTGTTTGGTACCAAAATACCACAAATATTGTGTGGAACCTGACTTTATAGGCATGGTACCAGAAAGGATCCCCTTGCAGGATTTGTAAGCAGAGTAACACCTGGTTTAAAACTCCTCCTAGGGTATAAGGACCAAGATGTTTGTCAGGGATTGCATATTTTGCCACTGGATACTCAAAATTGGACACAGAAAACTTCTCAGGACTTTTTTCAGTAGTGGGAAGGAAAACAGAGGTCCCTTTTCCCTGAAGCACTCAGATTCCATTTTATATATTGATTCTAACTTATGAAATTGCTCTGTGATCTTGCTGGGTGTTTAGTATTCAATAAAGTACAACACAGCATGTAGAGCTGTATCCAAACTTTAGAGCAGTGTGCAGTACATGCCAATGTGCTTCTACATACTTCAAATCTTTGTATCCAGTGCATCAAGCAAGCAGGACTCCTTAAATCTGGATTCATTCAATAGTGCCAAAGAGAAAATAACAAAAATCAAACAGATTTTAAAAGAAACTTTAGGGCCAATTAGAAATTCTAACTGCAAAAATTAGATGCATACAAATAGAATAAATATTTTTGACTTTTTGTAAATATAATTATTTTTTATTTCATGAGATAGTGGTTAAAAGACAGCAACACCAAAAAATCACCTACAGCTGTATTTACACTAAAAATTAGTTTATATATAGTAATTTAAGTATTTTATTTGAAATTGATAAATGTATCCTTTTTTAAACAAGATATTGGTTTAAAAAAAGGATACATTTATCAGCATGCCATGATTTTTGTCATAATTGAAAACAGATTCTTGCATTTTATCAGGAAAAAGTTATTAATATTCTCATATTTTTTAGACTTGTTCAGATTCTTTTTTTTTTTAATTTTTTTAGAGGGATGATGATGGAGCTATATTTTCAAAAAGTAGGCAATGCCCTGAAAAGATTATTTTTGGGATTGCTATGCTTAGTGCTACACAAGGAGCATATGCTTATTAAAATTGCTCCTGCTTAGTCTCAAAACTAGTAGTTCCCATATAGGTTGGGAAGAGTATCAGTAACAAGCAGATTCACATTTCTGGGAACTGTGATTGCATGAAGTGAATGGAAGGAGGCTGTAAAGACACCTGACATTGGGCTTTGATGACACACCCCATCCCTATATTAAGCTTTTTTTTGACTGAATAGTACTTTTTCAAGTTTTTGAATATAATGGCCTGACAAGTTTGCATTTCATGATGATGTATGAATGTAAGACTGTAACCAGTTAGTTTTGTGTTTGTATTGCTCTGATTTAGGTAAAACACTTCTTCTGTAGCTGTGGTGCTGTAATAGTGTAAAAGATGTGGCAGTAATAGTGCAAAGTTCTAGAACCAGATATTCCAGTTTTATTGTGGAAGAACTCAACTTCCAAACTTAACTTTTCATGTGAGTTTAGTCATCATGTTCCTGGTCAAACATGATTCTCCGTGTGAAGGAGATTTGATAAAAATCACAGTGAGCTTTAGCATTGCAGGAATGTTTCTGTTACCATAATAAAAATATAAAATACTGTTTGCTCCTTGGTTTCTGCTTAATATTCCCATAAATGTGGCTGTTTTTTATGAGCAACTCAGCTGCTTCTTATTTGATCCTACTGTGAACCATCTCAGGAGGCTAAATAGCAAAAGAAAAACAAAATGAAAAAGTGAGTAATTTTCTGCTGTGTCTGTTTTTTCTAACAGCAATCAGATGTGCACCAGTGCAAGAAAGAGGAAAAGACCATATCTTTCCCATAGTAATTCTAATGTGACTGTTCAGTCAAACATAGCTAAAGTAATAAGCAATAAATGGACCTTAAGTGTTTTGATGTCCAACTGCTTAAACTGGTTTTGAGTGAGAGTGATTGATGCATTTTTGAAAGGGAACTGTTGCACATTTAATATCAAGAAAAATATTTATGTTACCCATTTTGCTTTCCTAGATATTAAAATACTGCACTATTTTTAGGTCAATATTAAACAAAGTATAAATCTTGGTATGATTCCTAGTAGAGCAATAAAAAATATGGTATAAAAATAATAAAAAAAAATCTCTGAGAGATTATTCAAGTGAAAAGTAAAAAAATCAATATAGAAATAATTTTCATCTGAAAATTAAAGTAAAAACTAATATTGTTATTTCATTTTCTTTCACAAGAATAGCAAGATGACATGGTCTTATTATTTTTTTTAAAATTATTTTCCCTTTCAGTGAAATCAAGTTAATTACTATTGGGAGAAGAAGCATCAATTTTCTCTGTTTTCCTTGGTTGATATTTTTCCATTTTAGGAGCTTACAATAGGTTTTACCTTAATGGCTTTCCCATGTGTCTGGGCTTCAAAGATGTAATTTTAAAAAATATCATCATAGGAAAAAAATATTGCATTCACTGGCTATTGAACTTAAACTTGTCCTGTTTCAGGTCTTCTCATAAAACAAATTGGACATTTAGAATTCTGTATTAGTGTCTGCTCCTTCTGAGTGGGGCACTGAGCAGGGAGGACTCTGCCCTGTATCAGATGGAATTACATTGGCCTTGAATTTGCACGCACCTTGGCTTGAACCATTCTGTCATTCCACGATTCTGTGAAATTGCTCTGTTCACTGATGAAGGCTCACTGGCTTTTATATTCTGGACCAGAAGACTGATGTCTGTCTTTTTTATGTACAGAACACAGGAGTTTATAAGTTAAGAGTAAATGGCATATAGTTATTCTTAAATCAAACAAACAAATGTTTTTAAAATAGCACAAGTAAATATTGTTACGGTACATGTGCTACTGAAGCATTGCCAAATAATTACCAAATAATTACAAGCTGTTTGACAGCTTGTGCACACCTTTTAGAGGGGTGAGGACTGAAAGTGAGTGCTTAATACATTTTGAATATTCATATTTTTTTTATACTTACCTGCACTTTGCTTCCCCATATGAGTAGGCTAACTGACATTTAATTTTGTTTCAATTTGATGGTAAGTGTAAAAGATTATTTACTCAATCCTAGGTCACCCATGTTCACAGGATTCAGGCATACATTTGGGAAGAATCAGGGGATAAATAATAAAAAAATTGCACAAGTTTCTGCACTAAATTCACTTAAAAGGGATAGATTTTTCATCTGTCAGAGTTGACATTGACTAAGCTTCTCTGGGAATTTTACCTAAGAGATAGCTTTTCTTCCTACTTAACATTTTCTCTGCCCTCACAAGTAAATCTACATAAGGACAGGCTGAAAATATTATTGGATAATAAGTATTTCTTATCATGGCTACATTTTCCTAGCAGATGTTTTTAAGAGAAATTTTGTAGCCAATACATGAAACTCTTTTTGGATTAACAACAATAATAATGGAGGTCTCTCACTAAAGACTGTGCTTGCCTAAAGTAAGAGCAAAACCTATTACGATATCAACTGGAATGAAAAAAAAGAGATGCTACGAGCAAAGATTCAGATGCATTCCTTTCTTTACACACAGTCTTATCTAACTTCTTTGTGTTCTACTGTGGAATGAGAGATGTACTTTTCCTGGTTCTCAGCAATTAAAGAATGAAATTACATATAATAAATTAGGGGCAGACTTGCAGAGACAAAATTCCTACATTATTTCAGTATGTCCAAGAGAATTGTGAGAAATTATTTACTCTTCTGTGTGAAATCCAAGAAATCCACCATATTCAGGAATTTGGAACAGCACCAAAATTCTTTAGGCTTTGATCTGAAATGATTTATATATGCTTACTTGATTTACTTCTACTACCCGGAAGTAGAAAAGGATTTATCTATTCCTCAGTATGTTACCTGAGACAATACAAGTCATTATATCCCATTATTATGGACATTATAATATACTGCCAAAGAAATTATAAGCAACAAAACTGAGATGTTTGTTTATACCTCATGTCTATTTTGTTACTGAAAAAGAAAATTCCCAGCCAGAACAAGTGTTTGCAAACCAGTAGCAAATTGCATGGCTGTCATGTGAAGCACCTTCCCTTGACCACAGCAATACTTAACAGTCCCCTGGAGAGGTTTTCCTGTTGACATAAATTTACAGGGTCTTTTTCTTTATCTCCCCACAATATTTTTGACAGATTCAGCTCTTTTTATCTTTTAAAGCCTTTTACTGCGCCTTTGTTCAAGAATAACTATTCACTCTGTTAGAGCACTTCAGTTTGAGGAGACTTTCTTTCTTTTCATAAAATTTATAAATGCAATAAATTCACACAAATAATGATCTTAGAGCCTATAAAATGTTAGAGCTTCATTAAGCTGTGTTTTTTAAGCCAGGAGAAACCATTAAATAATAAACAGGAAATGCCAAGTTTCCTGTGACATTTCTAAAGCCTATCAAAGGATTTGAAAATTATATGAAAGGTTAGATAAATTTTTGTTTCATAAAGTTCTATTTTCTTCAATTTTCAAATATTCATAATACTCAACAGTACATACAATCCAAAGATTTCATGTTTTATTTTGTGTTTAGTTCCTCTTATTGTCTTATTTCTAAGACAATATATGAACAGATATATGCAATAGTTTGCCAAATAATTTTCTAGACTTACGTTTTGTAGAATATATTTGCTATCATTTATTAAACATTACACCTTTCTTTCTGTCTGTACAACCAATTACCTTAACCTGCTACCACCATCTATGAGTCTTACCTGATTCCAGATTTTCTTTAGCCACTCACATGTGTTCTGACTGGGACAGACCCATGCCTTTCACCTAGCTTTTCTTGCTTACTAATGTAGATTTTTTTCTCTAATATTCCTACATTGCATATTACAGTGTTTAATAAAGTAAAACAGTATTGAAATAAAATTGATTTCTCTCATTGTTCAGATATGGATTTACAGTGTTTCTAACTGTGGAGCTGTTGTTTAACTGCATCCTTTACTTGAGGCTTTAATTTGATTTTTCCTCTTTAATTTTAGACAAACACTGAGTATAAGAGCAGCTAATCAAATCAGTAAATATATTTGATAGAAGTTGTGTTGAAAGCATTTAATGACAGTTCTGCACATTATTCCAAATCTATATTTACAGAATACTAAACACAATCAAAATAAACCTGCAAACACCCTAGCATTTTCTTTAGATGAGGTCTGTAGTTCTTAAATTTTAGCAGTTAAAATATCTAGAAAAATGCTACTTTTAAATGCTTAGATTAATTTCTGTTTAAAATAATAATTTCTATGAATGGTAGAGAAACCATATATACTGCATATATATATATATAGTACATATGTGCGTATATATATACACACCGTATAAAGCATACAATTTATTGTTTTTTACAATGGAATTAATACTGTTAGAAGCTTGTGTTTACGCATTTTTGCTCCATGAAGCCATTAGAGTCTTACTTTGGTTTTCCAAATTTAAGGACAAAATATGTGTATTGCACAGATTTGAAACAATTTGCAAATCTTATGTAAAGAAATTTTTCTACATGACTTCTGGCTGAGATTTAACTCAAACTGCTACTGGGATTGTGTGGTCAGGTCATGTATAGAACAGCAAAAGAGAAAGGACAGTAAAGGACATTTACTAATTAACAACTAAAACTGTCTAGAAGTTTAAAGGCTCCTTAAACTCGACTTTATTTTTTTTTTCATTTTTTACCATACTATTAAGTAAGGTTGACAATTAATTTGATGGGGAGAAAAGAGAAAATAAAACGACTTACATCTTAAAGGCTAGCTGTCATGCAGAGTACTGTATCATTTTCATTTTAGGTATTAGTCTTGACAGGGTTTTCCCTTCTATCTTATTAGAGACAGAGCAAACCTGCTGAGATGCAAGATTTTGCATCTTATAATTCTGTCCTGCAGGGAAGGAATGAAAAAGATCTCATCAAAATGAAGATCCCCTGAAAATCAGTTCTGTGAAACAGATCTCCCACTGTTAACAGTCAGTGCTAGGAGCAATGACATGTTACTGTATTTGCTTTTCTTTTAATGAAAGGCCTCCTGCATTCCTTAGGAATGTAATGGTGTTAGAAGGCTCCACCTATTCCAAAGCTTCTCAGACTTTCCTATTATCAGCCTATAGCCACAAACTTCACTGCCCGCATATCTGTCTTCCCTTTCCTCTCCTTCTCTCAGTTTTAGTCCATTCTTCCATCTACCTTTCTTAAGTGCCTGCCTGCAACTTAAGTCTGTTCTTGGTAGACACATAACATTTATCTAAATTAAAAATTAAATACATTGGCACCAGAGTTTTCTTGGCCATTTCCTAGACACTAGAATGATATTTGCTTATACCTAGAAATTTTATTTTCATTGATGTGTAGGGTCAAGCCTTGGACTGAATGCTTGTCATAGATTTGGCTTACACAACTACAAGAAAATTAAAAATATTAAGGGAATTTTGTTTATAATCTGCATACTATGATATGTTGCACAAGAAAAGAACTGAACCTTGTGGTGGCATAACAAATGCAGAACATTTTAACATATGTACGCATATGTGTATAGAAAACATATCTCTCTATATATTTACATAAATATTAATATGCGTCTATATATCTACATCCTGTACATAATGCTTAATTATATATGCTATTTATATTATATACACATATATATATTTTACAGAAAGGATACATACATGTTTTAGGTCTCCTTGGTAGAATGAGGACTGGCCACATGGTTCTGAGCTTTATTATTAAATAAATTACATCTTTACTATTAAATAAATATTTTAACAGTGAGCAAAGCTTATTTTTATCTACAGCAACAGTTAGCGTAGGTTACAGTTGTACAGAACTTTTACAAAATAACATAGCTTTCAATTAAGGAGAATTTCAGGTTAACTGGACTTTTAATCACTTGGATCCTCTACTGATTAGGTCAAATTTCTAATAATCAGCCTATGAAACAATAATTGAAAACTAGACTCAAAATATTCTTAACAAGAGTCACCATTTAGTCCTTGGAGACTTCCATTTTGGTTGAAGTGAACTTTGTGTACTAAGATCTGCTGATAGGAAGCCAGGACAATTTCCTTGAAAAGTTGTTTTATAACATGACAACATGGAATTTTGGGAGCTTGTCATGGTAAAAGCTCCCGGTAAATTATCATGTTTTTACATGATTATGTCCTCACATGATCAGATCCTCACATTCACATTCTCTGGCCTTCCCATAAACAATCATCTGAGTTCACACAAAAGTGAGTATTTTTGTCATTGCTACAAAATGGAACTCACAAAATGGTAGTGATACATGAGGAAATACATCTCTTTTACAGGGCTCCCTTACAATGTGCCTTCTGTCTTCTGAATATTTTTCTTGTGAAAAATCAATGGTAAAATTATTAAGATTGTTTCCAGAAAAATAAGTGTTTCTGTCAATGAATCATAGCAGCTCAAATTTATTCTGGATTATGTGCATGTTCTGAAATTATTCCATTATCTACCTGTATTTTTCTACCTTATGTATTAGGGTGCATTTTTTCCCACTTTGATTTGTATTTTGTTCTTTAAACAAAGATGCTGGAGATTAGAGGGTTTTTTTTTTTGATGTTTTAAAGGAAACACTGTCATTTACAAGAGTAGTTTGAAAAATATCAGTATATGTTTTTCATGATCTTGGCTATTTTTTTACCAAGAACTTTGTTTAATTTCCTGCTATAGTTGGTCCCCCTTTAAAAGAGAAATAGTATAGTAGCAGTGGGGAAGTGGGAAAAATTGGAGTTAATATATGCAGCTTTTCAATGATTCGAGATAGTCTCGTTGAAAATGGAGGTGTTGATGTGACTGGGAAATACCTGCAGACATAAGGTCTAAGCCACAGAGTGGCCAAAGGGCAGCAAAGTTACCTTGTGTAGTGGAAGGAATGGAACCACAAAGGCCAAATGGCAGTAGAGTGGAAACACCGTGTAGCATCAGGTTTCTGAGGTGTTCTTAAAATTATACTTGGACTCTGTTCCTGCAATGTGAACTTCACACGCACAATTCTGTGTCAACACCCAGGGACCTGTACAGGATTAAGTAATGATTATTAGTGTTGAATTTGTCTGTTAATAAGCAAAATTATTTAAATAAGATTTTATGCCAATTTACTACATAAATACTGCATGTGTAATTATGCTTATATCGCAATTGACTTTTTATTGACAGAATTTTGTATTCTGGTAAAAAACTCTTGAGCTATTCATTTACAGCCTTTTTAGGGAACTGATCTGAATTTCTAAGCATTTAATCTGGCAAGGTAATTGTCCATTTATGCATAATTCATAATCAATAAAATTTTCTAGGATTAAATTTATATTTAACATTTTTTGATTTATGCTTACTTGAAATGTCTTACTGTCATTGTTGGATTTTTCTAAAAGTTCAATGTTTATAATTATGAGATGATCAATATAAAACTGAGATGAAGCCATTTTTAGGTTTAATTTACAAAAAATTTGCACTGTTTTGTAAAACATTTTTTATTTATATTTTTTTCAGGGATATAAAACATAGCTTCTGGCTGCAATACAGTAATATGTGTTTGTTTTTTTCTTATTAAAGTCCCAATGTAGTAATAAAGTGTGTCCCTGTGCAAGACAAGTAGTTCTTTTTATATTGCATTTAATAAGAAAACATGATAGTTCTGCATTATGATTTGCTTGTACTCTAATATGTACTTCTTTAATGAGCAAAGATCCTTGGTCTGAAAACATATTTTGAATTAAATTGATCCCTCAAATGTGACTGTGATGAGTATTGTGGGCATCAATTGCTATAGGAAAGGTTGTTTTCTTAGTTTCTTCATGTAAATGCATCTCAAAGTTTCTTGTCCCCTAAATAAGGGGCATGACTTCAGTATCAGAGACATCTTCTGACCCATGCTTTTGCTAAAAGAAGAAGTTACCATAACATCTGCAGATAATATCAATATTAAATTTGCCATTCTTCTCTTTTTTTTGTTACAGCAAAATAGTTTTCAAAAGTAAAGTTCAGAAAGTTTTAGTTTACTCTAAAATTGCCAAAATGACACCACCCCATCCTTCCCATGTACTCTCTGTTCATTCAGTTTCACCCATTTTCCCTGGGGAATATTTGAAGTGACTCAGGTTGTGATGCTTGTGGTGAGAGAGCAGCTGAATCCTATTAGAAAACTGACAAGCTGTTTGTCCAGACGGGATGTCTGTCAAAGCAAGTTTGTCCAATCACTGACATTTGGGCTAGGGAATGTGATGGAAGGTGATTGATGCCTGATCCCCACATTCGCTTCGCATTCTGCCCAGTGACTCAACAACTTGTCAGGGTGGGAAAATAAGCATGTTATAGAGTAAGACTCTAGTCCCACAGATAAGCAGGAAGAACTTGGCTGTCACCTATGGCAACTTTATTCTTTAGGTAGGTGAATGAGACAATCACAGCTGGAATTTGACTTATATTCAAGGAAGAAGCAGACCTTTCTAAGAGAAGACTTTCAACTGATTTCATATTAGCAGTTACCATCGTTTTCAGTAAGAAATTTCTTAAGGTAATTTACAGCTCCGGGTATGGAGGAAATGAGCTATATACTGCTGAATTAGAAAGGCTTTAAAGAAAATTGTGTGAATAGCTATATTAACTGAGTTCAGCACCAGGATTTATATTTGAAGAAACCTTTTATTCAGACAGTTTCTTAGCAAAGACAGTCCTCCTTAAAGGACAGTGATAAACAAGACTAATGAGAAGAACTGGAGGGTGAAGAAGCATTGTTTGTATTTTCTTTGCATTTTGTAAAAAAAAAAATGTGAAATATAAACAAGTAAAATTGCTACTTCTATCTTTTTGGCTCATCCGAATATATTTCAAATATTCATTATGCATAAATAGCTAACTTGGCAATGCTAGGAATGGTGTCAAAATAAAGCTTCTTTAATTGCCAAAAATAAAACATCGACAGTTAGTCAGAAGGACACACAGAAATACTGATCTTTAATCTCCTATATAAACACCTTGACTGTCCCGATATTTTATAGAATATATATTACCTTATCCACCATTTAAATAGTTTAGAAAACTATATTTAAAAAAATAATTTTTCAGAGTATGAAAAATCTAAAAGTCATTGTAATTAATGTGTGAATTTCTTCTATCTTCCTCATCATGTACATTTTTACTTTAAGACAAAATCAGATTAATTGCCCTGCTATGAATGTACAAATTAACATTTGGATGACAATAATTTCCTGGATGACAGGAAACAAGTGTGTGAATGAAGATAAAGCATTAAAAATATTTGATCATTTTAGTATCACAGGTAGATTTTAAATCAGCTTGTAGAATTGCCATTCCTGTCCTTTGACCACTGCAAAATGTAATTTTAAATCTTCAACCTTCTTTGCCTGGAAATGATAATTTCGTTTGGTATCCCTCAGCTCCTGCTTTGAAGAAAAATATGAATTCATAATTTCAGATTTTTTAAATAAAAATTGAAGATGGATATAAAAATGGATGACTCTTGGAACTAACTGTCTTACCTCTCATGGAAAATAATCGTACCATTGTTTTTTTCTAATTTTTCAACTAGTCTTTGTAATAATATGTAACTTTCTGGAAGCAGGATTAAAACAAAAAAATTTTAAAATCCCACCACTATTTCCAAAAGGGAAAAGTGTATTAGGCACATAGAACAATGCAGAAAAATATGGGGAAGGGATGTGGAAATGTACAATAATGTAAAAACATTTATGGTTAGTACAGAATTAAAATTGTACTACTGAATAAAGAACATCATATATAAAATTTCTGTAATGGTATGTAACATTATTTGAATGAACTATGTATGTACTATCTTTGCAACCTGTCAAAGCAATTAATTCTGTTTTCTTTGTAGATTTCTTTTCACTTACTGTAGTGTGTTCCTGAGAAGCTATGCAGAGTAATATATAAGAGAAAACATTTTTTGGAACAAAATTGAGAATTATTACAGCAGTCCATTAATGGGGATTTATTAATTCAAAGTGTTACCTATCCTACCTGTTCATGCACAAGAGGAAGCTCTCTTATCTTGTGCAAATGGAAAAAAAAATTGCTCTTGCTTGATAATTCACTTTATTCAGTGCTGTATGCTGAATGTACCTGAGTATACTGACCACTGTTCCCATGGACTTTGTTCAGAGGCCAGCCTCTTGGGGTGTTGTGATATTTTTGTTTTATGTAGTGCAAGATTTTATTGGAAAGAAACTTGCATCTATGCTTTAATTAAGTTTTGACAAATATCAGTTGAATCAAGGATTTTAAATACCAACAAAATACATTAACACAGTTTTTTGTAGTTTTGGATGGCATACTGTTTAAGAAAGAGTAAGTAAAGGATATGACTGCAGCTTGATTTTCACAGAGCTATTGAGAGGGAAAATATGTCCCTTAGTTTTTTGGAATTGAAAAATTCATTAAGAAGTTAAAGAATATGCTGAGCTGGAAGGGACCCATGATGATCATTGAGTCCACCTCCTAACTCCACACAGGGCAACCTACATATTAAACCATGTGTCTAAGATCATTGTCCAAATGCTTCTTGAAGAGTGTCAGGCTTGAGGCCATGACTTGTCTCCCAGGGAGCAGTTCTACTGCTTGATAATACTCCAAGTAAAGACCTTTTTCCTGATACCCAATCTGAAATCCCCTGATTCAGCTTTAACATTCCTTTATGTCCTGCTACTAGAGAAAGTGACAAGCACCTCCATCTTTGAGGTAATCATGAGGTAATTGTAGACAGCAATGAGTCGATGACTCAGCCTCCTTTTCTGTAATCTGAACAAAATCATACCCTCTACTCCTTTAACTATCTTTCCTGCCCACCTTGGGACATATTCCAATATTTTTATATCCTGCTTATATTATGTGGAGCTCAAATTGAACACTTATTCAAAGTGGGGTTGAGTGTTTTGAGCAGCAGCAAAACTGATGAAGAGCTGAAAGGAAAAACCAAAGACATAGCATTAAAAGTGTTCATGGAGTTAACATTTTTTGCCACATGAAAGTTAAGAACATTTTTAAAAGTTCTTAGAGCTTTATCTTGTTCAGTAACTGCAGTTGTCCTTCCTCACATGTTTGCAATTGGTCAGTGTTTCTTTCCAGATCTTTTATCTTATAAATATATCAGCTTTACAAGTTTCCTTTTATTTTAAAAAGTGACAAAAGTCATTGAAAGTGACTTACTTTCTCCTAGTAGTGGGACTATAAAATGTTTCACATTAAAACTCAATAACTTTTTCTTTCCTTTTCAATTAGAAAGCCTCTTTTTTTCCTCCTTTTAACTTTATCTGATTTCTATAATGCATTTTGCATCTTGAATCCCATTTGGTACCAGCTAGCAGAGATACTGGAAATTTAAAGTCTGCTTTTCATACTTGTGGTAGAATGAATTCTCAAACTAGTATTTCGGTCTTTGCTACTCTTGAACAAAACTGTGGATCATAAGGTAAATGGTGAAAATGTTACCTTGTGCATTTTCTAGCATTCTGGCAAAGGGTACCTCTGCTTGCCAAAGCCTATTTGGCTAAATCCAACTGTACAAGAGGACTTGTGTCTGGTCCTGGTGTCCTGATATGACAGGCTGGAGAGGACCCAATGTCTGCTCACCAGCAGGGACCTCTTCCGTTCAGGCATTTTGTTCCAGGTCTGGATTTTTCACATTCTTGGTTTGCTCTAAAAATATTTTTAGAGCACTTGAAATTAATTTAATTTGTGAAGTTTAAGGCTCACATTTATAAAAGTTATATAAAGGCCACTGACAACCTTCTGGGCCCTGATATAGTGTTTGTGTTCACTGGCAGATACTTGTCTTCAGTTTCCCACTTTTTTCCCTTCCTAATGTTTTGTTAAACATAGATAAACAATAATCTCATAAAATATGGTTTTCTGCAGCCTCTAAACTCTTGCCAGTAGCACAACACACTGTCATTAGGATACTTAAAATTTTGAACAGAAAATGCAGATATACGTCTCTTGAGAGGAGCAGAAAACAACAGAGAGAACTGTGAAATGGGCTGATTTTGCCCACATCTCCTCAGTGGTTCATTCATTTTCTCTTCCAGTACCAATTTAATTACCCCTCTAATGCCTTCATATTGCTTCATGTTTGATTTTTTGGTATATGTGATTCTCTCCACTGCTTCCTATTTTATGTCCTTCCAACAATATCCTCCCTGGAATCTGAGTTCAAGATTGTGAGAGGATAATGTATCACCCTAATGAGAGGTGTCTTGGCTGGGAAAGGGGTTCCAGCACTGGGTTATGACATCACAGCCCCAATGCAACCTTTCTTGTTTTCCCTATGTACAAAAGAGACTGCCTTCAGTACATGGAACATCTTTCACCTTGGTCGAGCAGCACCTCTGATCAGGCCTGTAGGAAACAAAATTTTTAGAGAAAAGCATCAATTAGGATTGCAGTGTTTCTAATCAAATTTGGGATGAGTTTTTTTCTTAGTTATTGCTATGTATTACAAAATTTTTATAGAAAAAGTAGAGGCTTAAACTCTACCACTGTTTCCCATTTTATTTTGCCACAAAACTGAGTTCTAGTTATTAAAGAGCTAGAATATACTGGATATTCATTCTGCATAAGGAAAATTTCCCACCAAAATTCTGTTCGTACTTTTTTGTTCACATCACATAGGTTATGACATTAGGTTACTGAAAAAATAAAAGAAATTTGAAAGCCAAAAATTTTAGCAGGATAACAAAAATATCTTCCTCTTGTTCTTCTTGTTCTTCTTGTTCTTCTTGTTCTTCTTGTTCTTCTTCAATAAGAGCAAGACTTATTTAAAATATTGTCTCAAAAAGATCCAAAATAAATTTAGGTATTTCAAAACAATAAAGAATATTTTAATTGCGAAAAACAAACTGCTCTTTGATTTTGACCCAAGACAAACAAAAAAAGAAAAAAAATAAATATAGACTTCTTTCTTTAGCTTCAAAAATTGATAATTTCATTTTTAAATTTTCAGATCTAAGTTCAGATATTCTACATGCCTTAAAGTATTAATTTTCTGATAAAAGTTTTTATTATGGTAATAGCAAAGTTCATTTTTTGTTATAGTGGCATTAAAAAATGTGTTTACTCTTTGCTATATTTGAATGCAAAGAAGTTTTATTTTCTTAATTAAAAATGCTGCATATCCTTGTAATGCTTTCCAGTACAGCAAAACTGTGATTAAGCTAATACTGCTGCTTCTCCTATCTCATTCCTGTTACCAGAGAATAATTTTTTTCTTGACTGATGATCTCTGCCTTTTGCATCTGCCACTTGAGGAAGGAGCAGAAAAGCTTTTGGTTTTCCCTTTTTTGGGAGTACTAAATTCGGCAATACCATTCCTAAATAATGACATACCTTTAAGTGAGTTTGATAAATAGTTCTGTCACTTGGATCCCTTTTACATAAACCATATTTACAGAAAACAAATTTATCTGAATTCATCTTGAACACAATGCCTCAGTCTCATCCATCACTGCTTGATGCCTCTGGGATCATGTGGACTGGTCACATGTTCCATAGTGGAACTGATGTTTAGGGCAGCAAGTCATTTAAAGAAAATGCCAGTCAGGCAGAGGAAAGGTAGTTGAGCTGAACATGCAGCATTTGGTTTTTCTGATGTTTTGGCAACACAACTCAGCTGCCCAACTTAGAGCAGCTTTATGGTTTCTGTATCTACCTTTACTTTCCTCTTCTTACTTCTTGGAAGGCAACAGGAGATGGAAAACATAGAAGCACATATTTGTCTCAAAATTAGAATTATCACTTAGAATTTCTTTTCAGCTCAAGATATGCTTATGAATAGCTATTCGTAAATAATTTTTTAGATAATTAAATTACTAATCAGTAAAATCTGAATGGAAGTGCCAATATGCACAAAGCTAATATGTTTTTGATGAGTCGGGAGCTGGTCCTTATTTTGACCAGTGCAACATAATTAAGGGAGGTTTTAATTATTCTACTATAATTAATTTGTTCTGTAGAAAAGGCTGTGATTTTGATTATCTGCAAATTAACTCATGTAGGTTCTCACTATATATATATATATATAAATCATCCACAGGAGTATTATCCTGGAAAGCTTTTTAATTATAAAATAAACCCCCTAGTAACTAAAATAGCAAATGAATTAATATAGATTATGCAATTAATTTCTTGGGTATTGCCTTATTTTATAATTTAAAAGCTTTCTGGTCATACTACTGATGCCTAACCTTTCTATAATTAAGGCAACACTCATAACTAGGACTAATTAGCATGCTTTCAAAATAATTTGTTGTATACGCAAAAAAACCCACCAATATTTAGAAGTAAGGTCACATTCTCTTATGGTGTATTTTTTCAATGATAACATCAACAATGTTAAAAGTCACAATATGTATTTTTGCTCAAATTTGAAGAACATGTATATTTCTTTACTTTGGTGAAAATTTAAAGACAAAATTGCTACCAAAGAAAATTCTGTTCTTTTAACAGTCTTGATGATATTTAAACCATTCTGGCAGGATGAATGTCTGACTACAGCAGAACCTAAACTCTGATATTATCTCTGTTAATAATATCTCTGGGATGACTGAAGACCTTCTTTCTCAAAGCTAAAGGGAAGCTGAATTTTCAGCATGGTAGTTCCTCCTCAATAAGTAATTCCCAGAAACATACATTATCATTCTAGCCCTTAACCCTCTCTCCCAGTGAGACAATCAAGCTTCCTCTCTCCATCAGGCTAGGAAAGAGAAAAGTATATATTTGTAGGTAATAGGAACATGCTTGGAGTGACAGTGCTGTGTGCATAACCGAGGACCAAGCATCTGCCAAAAGACCCTTGTTCATTGGGATTGTGTTTTGTGATTTATTAGAGTAAAACTCATTAGTAGATGTCTTATCTTATGTAGACTTCAATATCTGGAGCACAGAGAATGTGAGTGCTGTACTTAATAGGGGAGGCTAGGACATAGATGGCAGGCAATGGCAGGGAGGAAGGGGAAATTATTTGCTCTCAAGTATGGCAGTAATTGTTACATTCTACTATTACTTATTACTTATTAGTTCTTATACTACTATTTATTAGTTCTGAAAGAATGAGAGAGATTTATTTCCCTTGGAGAAGAGGTTTGAAATATCTTGTTTCCTGGTGTACCACCTAATTTTATTGTGTTATCCATCTTGTGTGAATCGACACAATAAGGAAAAAACAATGAAAACAAAATATTGGTTCTTTTTCTCTCTGAATACAACTGTATCAAGATTCTCCAATACTGATGCCTGCTCCAGAATAGGTTGTCTCCCACAGGAGACAATCTTTCATGAACACCTCTAATATGGGCACCTTCTCACAAGATGCAGTTCTTCAAAATTGCTTCAGCATGTATCCTTTCCAAAGGGTCTTGTGGAATTCAGGAACTTCCTAAGTATTTCAGGAACTGCCTAAATACTTTAGCTTATAACTTCAGACCTTAAACTTCTGTTATTATCCTCTATCTGCTGTGGAGAAGATGGTGTCTTTTGGGAAGATACTCCATGTGTTTGTTTAACAGATTTTGATCATGCAGGTGTTGACATATTTGCACATACATACTTGTTTTTTGCATGTGCAATGTGGGGTGAACCATCAGGGAAGGACAGAAATCAACAAAGAATTCTTTTTGTCATTTGAAGAGACCAAATGATCATCCTTCATCTCAATATCCTATAAAAGAGAGCTTTTGGTTGCTACAAATTTGAAGGCATCAAAGTGCTTACTGGCAGGGATTATAGTCTGATTTATTTACAAAGCTAATGCTTATTTCACATAAGAATATATAGTAATAAACCAATTGCAGGACAAAATATTTTGGTAGGGCATTATGTCAGTATGGCAGGGATCTCCATCCTGCTCTACCCCGACTGTGGTATTTCAGCACAGGCAATATGGGCCCCCACAGCAATGGCTCAGAGCTCTCAGCAGGATGTGTTGCAGGCAGGAAAAAAGAGCATGCCAGCATCTAGTAATTTAGTGGTATGACTGCTTGGAGGTTTGATGCTTCACACCAGTCGTGTAACTAGTAATGTAACTAGTCATTGCTCTGCAGACTGTATCATGAAGGGAATATCTCCTACTCTTAGGGTAGATAAATTTTTTCAGTGCTCGACAAGAAGGCAGGGGATACGAAGAGAAAACTGCTCCATTGCCACAATTTAATCTTCCAGACATTACTTAACAAAATAAATCTGTAGGGTTTGCCTTGTCCATATTACTGATGTGTCTTTTGCCCATGTTACCTCATGCCTCTTGGTTATGATTGTGAGATGCTCTGCTGTGAAGTCTTATCAGAGGGAATGCACAAGAGGAAACCCACTGTGTCTTTTCTTGGGGAAACAACTTACCTCGATTTATTAAGAAGGTTTGAGATGCTTATGTAGAACTTCTCTGCCCTTGCAACTGCCAACATACTAATGTTTTTAATTCCAAAGAAAATGGCACTAAAACGAAGAAAAAAGAACTCTCTGTACCACTAATTAAGATGATATACCAGAAAAAGAGAACTTTAATGAAATGCAGGACCAGCTTCCCAGTGTACCTGATAACCATTTCTTCTGCAAAATGAGTATGTAACAAGGATGAGGGGGAGGTATTTTTTTTTTTTTATATATATTTTGGAGGGTTTTTTTAAAAAAAATTGTATTAGAGCAAAAGAGAACCTGCTTTATCTAAAAAACAAAAAAATTCCAAACAGCACAGACACCTACCATTTCACTATACAGAACAATTCCTATATTTCAGAACTCTTTTTTTATATTTTTCTCATGTGGGCAGTCTATAAAACTGAAATACTATGCAGTTACAGTCTCCTAATATTAAAATATCTGAAGAGAAAATGTGATAGTACAGGGTATTTTGCTGTAAGAAGCACAAGCTTTCCTGACTTGTTAAATAGAAGATTTTTTAAATGTATTTATTTTGTTTTATTTAATTGTCTTTTTTAACTTTGGCATGAATTTCCATTCAGTAATATAAATATGCCAAATCTAAAGGAAAAGAAATCACAGTCAATAATCAAATATATTTTTTAGAAAATATTTGTATGCAGTCTTATTTGCAAAGTTATTGTATTTTTCATAACTATTACAAATGCACTTTTAGTAAATTTTGTTGAAAATGTACCTTTTTCTTAAAAAAAAAAAGCAATTAAAAAAATCATGCACAAATGTGTGTCAAAAAAGTTGAGGTTTTTCAGTAGCAGACTTACAGTAATTGACTCATATTTTTATTCATTGCCAATACAAGGTATATATAATGTTAGTTACCTGGCATGGTTGTTTTAGCTGGCACTTGCTTAACTGAGGAGTACTGTTTTACTAACCTTTGCAAATTAGGTCACATGTGATTGTTTAAATATATCTTGCTTATATTATACTGAATTTTCTTTTAATAATATATTTTTTATGTGTGACAAATATAGTCAAGGTTCTTGCCAGATGTCTATGAAAAGAGGGCAAAAAATTACTTCATGTAAATATTTGTGTTTCACAATACCAGTATCTTCCCAGTTCCCAGATCAAGATTCCCCTTGCATGATTGACTTCTAATGACTTCAGTATATAAAAAAAGATGGTTCTCAAATCTAAAACCATGAAGCAACACTATTGCTACTAAGAAATAGCTGCACTTAGGCCATACTCAAAATAGAATATTCCTCATCTCGCCCAAAATTTTCACTTCACTGGGAAGATAAATGGAGCACAATCTATACATATGGAAAAGAATAATTTTTGTTTTTTCATAGAAAAATCATTTTACTTCTGAGTTACCTTTAATAAACTTTGTAGAATCTTGAACTCAGTTGTAACTCCCTTAAAGCAGTGTCATTTAAGACACCTCGGAAAAAGACACCTAGTAAAAGAAAACATTCATCAACTGAAAAAAAAGAAACCAAAAAAACCCACTCAGAAGCAGAATTCATAACTATGCATGTCTATACACACACTGTCTAAACTGGAGCATGAATGCCATGTGAAAATACTGTGAAATTAATGTGCTCCCAAAGTGGGAAGCAAATTCCAGAAAAATGCTGAAGGTAAAATCTTGTCAGAATTCTCCTTGACTTAAACAGATCAGCATTTTACATTCATTATGTGTTCAGATTGTACTTTGAAACATTTTTCAGATGTTATGCTAAAGATATGCTTAGGTTGCCATGTTTCAGTTATGGAGGATTTCAATCATAGTCCCTGACCTTTTTCCTCTTCAAACCAAAATGACGTCTGTAATTGGTTTAGTCTTTTACATTACACTGACTGCGTTTTTCCTGTTCATTTGTATCAGACTGAAAAATTCCTTCTCACTTCACGTCTTCTGCTCCAAGAGAATAAAATACAAAGCATGATAGCGCTAACTACTCTTCGACAAAATGCACATAAGGAAGTGAAGAAGTTACAAAATGTCAAAACTGGTGAGTCTCTGTGTTATGTTGAGGTTATGTTGCTGCATGCTGTGACATACATTTTTCCTGGCTCATAAGTAGCAAATTGATCTTAACATTTCTAGCTGCAGTGAGATTTAGACAACTATGGCACAATTTGATGAAAACAGGTCAATCTTTCGTGTGTCATAGAAATGAGCTAATTGATGTCAGGTGGCTTTCTAAGAACTGGTCTTACTTCCAGTGCATAAGAACAGGATGGAAAGGGAGGAGTAACAAGTGACTTCCAGTTCAGTGATGTAATTTCAAGATGTAGTCTTGTGTGTGTTTTTTGCTGCATCCAGAAAAAAGCTTGATAGAAAAGATTATATGAATATACTTGAAATAAAGAAAAATAGATTTTCACTAAAGCATATACTTCCTACTGATTTAAGAAACTGTTGTCAACTCTTGTAGAATAACAAATATCTAGTCCTTCTAACACCTCATTGAGCTGTAGGTGTAGTTATAGTCCTGCTCTCCAGCTGCTGTGCTTTCAGAAGTGCCCTAACCACAATTTTCCAGGCTAATCTATTAACTGCCTTTCGCAAGCATACATTTCATTTGCATAATTAAAATCAATCAGAGGAGTAACATTTCAAAATAAACAATGCATTTCCCCTCTCATATTGGTACAAATCAGGCTTAATGCAACTAAGATCAATAAGTTGTAGTTGCAAAAGGATTGATGTCCATGAAAACATGATCAGGCTCTTATTTTGTCTACTGGATGATAAATTTTATACTGCTCACTAACTGGATCAAATCCAGAGATGAGGGATCATCTCTGGATTTGATTCAGTTAGTGAGTAGTATAAAATCGATCTTAGCTTATATAATTTATCTTCAGATTTAACTAAAGAATGGTAAGGTGATTAATATATAGTTCTTTTAATCATGATTATTAAAATACCTCGGGTAAATTTGGGTCGAATTTTAAAAATGGAAGAGATCTCATGCATTTCTTCAAAGGAGAAAGTCTGAAATTCACTTATCTATGTAATCAGTATCATGATACTTATGTTAGAAATTCTAGCTTCTTTCTCCACTGGAAAAAGAACCCCAGCTCTGATAGTTTACTCTGTATCTCCAAGAGTAATAATTTAAAAACATATTTCTAAATTCCAGCCATGAACATCTGATGTTTCATGTAATTCATGCCCTAATATTTATTCAGAGGTATTTTTTAGTACAGAAGTATTAAGAAAAATGTATATGATATTCAACCATTTTACCTTATTTAGATTTATTCAACAAACATTCTGTTAATCTTTTTATTTATTGGATGCTGATTATTCCTCTTATTCTGGAAGTACATTAGAGTGATCTTGCTAAAATCAAATAATAAAAAACTCAAACTCTGTGACACTGAGCTGTATATTATAATTAAGGAAATCTGCATTTGTGAGTCATATTTGGCTTGAAAAAATATGCTTTCCTTCTAATTGGAAAGGAAGGAATAAAGTATCTTTCTTGATAGCTTTTGTCCATTTAACAAACATCCATAACCTCTAAACTGATAATTATACTGGAAAATCTGAGTCTATAGTGTACACTTCCTCACACAAAAGAGATCCCACCCTTTTTTCAACTAATTTATCTGGCCACTTTGATAGTGCATGCTACTTTAATAATTGCAAGGCATTAAGTAATGCTTTGGGGAGTCAAAAACCACTGTAAATTATTTAACAGGGGATAATACTAGGACATCAATTAAAGTTAATCCAGCAAGCTGAAGGGCAATTTAAAAATGGTCTAATTGACACTCACCCTGCAGTGTCACAGTTTTTCAGTTTTGACTAACTATCCATTTATTACTTAGCAAAGTGCAGAAGAGGCTTAGTAATTCAAAATGTAATTAGTTTTCATAGAGAACAAAGGAGGAGGAAAAATGGGGGAAGGTTTAGCATACACATGGTAATGTATTGTCCTCTCTGTGTGCAGATGCACAGCTAAGCATGGCTTGATGCCAGAAAACTTAGAGCCTTTACAATAATGTGTTAATAAATATTTATGTTTTCATACATTAAACCATATTCCAAGGTAAATACAATTTATTCTGTTTATGATAGAGATGTACTCTTTCTGCTGAAAATAAAAAGTTTTAAAAGCTGTGACTAAAAATTAAAGAACAGTTGTTCCCAAGCAGCTTGTCATGGAACCGTTTGAACTCTTAACTTTTCTTCCATTTTCTACTAGATTGCTAATAATGTTGTACCAGTTACTACAGTTCTTTGAGGTATGGCTTATACTGGGATTTTCTTTGATGTTCTCATTAAAATTTGATAATAATTAAGCTTTTTGAAGCTTCAAATTATATTAAAAGAACAACATTTTTTTATTCCCAATAATCTCTGGAATGCAATAATGTATAATATCTGGAATATTACATGTAAACAGCATGTACATTTTCAGTTCTTTAAGGCTGAGAAGTCAGTGAAATGATTCCCGAGTAAAACTTTATGTATTTGAAGGTTTAGTCTTTGAACTTATGAGAATGATTTTTCTTGAGAAGTTTCTAGTCTTCATATGTTTGACCTTTTTTTATGGCCCAGGTATGCACATTAGAGGGCAGTTAAGTTTTTTCCGTTTTCACTGCAATAGTCCAAAGGACTGTGAATCAGTAATTTCTTTAGCTATACTTTAACAACTTCAGGCTGCTTTTCTGATCAGGCTGTGACAAAAGCTGGTTTGCAGCTTGAATTTTATTTCTGGAAAAGTACTTCAGATCCTTACTCTAACTAAATTATGAATAGTTTGTTTTTAATCATTTAATGAGGAATGGTATAATCAGCTGGATCAGTAAAACAATAAATGCAGAATCATAAACTAATTTATGTTGGAAAAGATCTGCAAGACTATCAATTCCAAGAGAAAACCCTGGATGCCAAGCCCACCCATATAAAATGTCCCTATATGCCATATCCATACATCTTTCAATTACCTACCTGCTGGGTGGTGACTGCATCAAGAGTGTTCCAGTGCTTAATAATCCTTTTGAAGAAGAAATTTTTTTGTAATATCCAATCTACAACTTCCCTGGCACAGCCTGAGACCATTTTCTCTCATTTTCCCACATCATTCCTGGGAGGATACACAAACCTTCACATTGTTACAACCTCCTTGTAGGCAGCTGTAGAAAGCAATAACGTTTTCCTTGATCCTCCTTTCCTCCAGGCTAAATCATTCCAGCCCCCTCAGCCATTTCTCATAGTACTTGTGTTCCAGACCTTTCCCAGTTTTGCTGTCCTTCCCTGGGCAGGCTTCAGCACCGCAATACTCTTCTTGCAACACGGGGCCCAAAAGTCAACACAGGATTTGAGGTGTGGCTTCACCATTGCTAAGTACAAGTGGAAAATTTTTTCCCTAGCCCTGCTGATCACGCTGTTTTTGATACAAGCCAGGATGTCCTTGGCCTTCTTGATCCCCTGGGCAAAGCTGGCTACAAGAGTTGGCTCAAGTTCAGGTGCTGTCAAACAGCACCCCCAGGCTCCTCTCTTCTGTACAGCTTTCCAACCACTCTACCCAGCCTGTGGCACTGCCTGGGGTTGCTGTAACCCAAGAACAGGACCTGGCACTTGGTCTTGTTGAACCTCACATAACTGGCCTCAGCCCATTGATCCAGTCTGTCCAGCCGATGTACACTCCTGTCCAATCTGTGTTATCTGAAAACTGACCAAGGATGTATTCAATCTGATCATGCAAGTAAGTCATTGTTAAAGACAATAACCACATATCTTTGGTTTTCTTCCACAACATTTGCAAAAAAAAAAAAAAATCTTAAAATACCTACTTGTATGGATTGATTTTGGTATTCTTATGGAGTCAAGTTGTCAAGTTTCAGGAACATTATTCTGCCATTTTTTTTTCTTCTTTAAATTACTACGTTTAATGTTTATTCTTCCTTTACTGTCTTTTTGTCTTACAAGCATAGTCACAGATAAGCATAGTCACAGATTGAAATGGATGGCTAAAAATGACATTGTTATACTTATTTCAAAATTATATTTTCAGGTGATAAAGTGTAAGCAATCTAGTATAAATATTAGGCAAACCTTTTTCTCTGTGTGCATTTGCTCCATTCACAGGCTCACTTCTCTGAAAATTCATTGAGCAGAATCTGTTCAGAGGTTTCTTTGTACAGCTGAAATACAATTCTTCACTCCACAAATAGCAGTTTGCCATTTGCCAAGGTGCAGAACTTTGTTTTTGCACTTTGAACGTGAAAGGTCCAATGACATAGAGAGAAGAAAATGAGAAATATTCTGGCCAAGAGGAGCAGATTTCAGGAGTACTGTTTTTCTTTTTAAATGTGAGAGCTAGACAAAGATGTTTATAAAACCTGAGGCAGCAACGAAAGTGACCTGAAAAATGGAGGAGACAAAATGAGTTATGGGATGCCAACAGTGCTGGATGTACGTTGTTTTTGAGTGGCTACCTGACACAAGTTATTTATGAATGAAATATTGACAGGTAAAGTTCATGGAGAAATAGATCTCAGAAATAAAATCGCACCAAGGAGAGATGACAGAAGTCAGAAAAGGTTTCTACCACAAAAGGAAGATGACTTATTTGTCCAATCTCTGCTCTTAAAATTTACTGAGAGCCTAGAGGGCAAACTCTTAAGAAAGGGTGATGTGCTGAAGAATGTGGCCACATTCATAAGTCAGGAAAAGAGGCAAAATAAAAGGGAAAAAGTTACAAAAGAAGGAGAGACTTCCCTAAAGAGTAGGGAAAACTTGTCAATCAAAAAGCAGATTGCTACAGAGGAAGAATAAGTTAGTTAGGCCCATGAGAAGATGATGACAGTAATAGGATGTGAAAGAAGAGGAGAAGATAACCAGGAGGTTTCCAAGAAGTCAATTCAGATTCTTCTCAGACCTAAGAATATTGGAGGGACTTGCATCAACACTGCAAAATTCCCCTGTAATCAATTATTTTTATTTTAAGATTAGCCACTAAGGTTTTACTTGGAACTCTGAGAAAAAAGTGTTGGCCACAAAGTGTTGGTCACCCTGATAAGCTGCAGAAAATATAGAATTCAGGCTGGAAATATAGATGTTAAATGGGCTATAAGTTATGTTCATATGGGCTATAAGTCTTGTTCAAAAGTAATGAAAGAACAATCATGAGCACAGCGTAAAGTATTTCACAGAAGAGACTGAAATATTAGTTCAATAAACAAGATAACAGAGCATACTGAGTAAATAAATTACTCAAAGGAAACAAACAAATAAACACCCCCCAAAGAAGCCATAATTTAGTAATCCAAGGTTGATACAGGTCAAATTAGATTGAGGAACAGAGACCCTTTGGTATTTTCAGATTTTTCTAGGAAGAAAAATTGAGACAAAACTGACTAATGTAAAAATTATATAACTGAATTCAGTGCTCTTTAATGTAAAATTTAGAGATTTTTTTTCTGTCACTCAATAAAAAAGGATTGCTTTTTTAGAATTTGTATTAGTTGGCTTATTGTAGAAAAATTTTAAAACCCCTCGAGTTTTAGAAAACTATTGGAAAGTCATGATCCCTTTAAATTAAATCTGGAGACAGACAAAAGTGGACCTATCATATAAGCCATCTTCAGTTTAAAAACTCTAATTTTCTATTTGATTTTGATGTCCTGGAATCAAAGATCATATATAAAGAGGATAAAAAGAAAGAAAGAAAGGAAGAAAGAAAGAAAAAGAAAGAAAGGAAGAAAGAAAGAAAAAGAAAGAAAACAGAAAAATTAAAGTAAGAGGGGAAGAAATGTACTCAGTAGAGGAAGGCGGCTTTAAGATGGGTACAACTGTATTTCATTTTACTAACCACTGACTTTCTGCTCCATTTATCATATTTTGACAAGTTCTTGAAAACCTGTTCAGAGGGAAACTGCTTCATAAATCTGTTATCCACTGCCTGTGATGTTTAACGTATTACACTGGAAATTAAGAAAAATAATAAATCAGCAACTCAAGCCCCTACCTTACAATAAGATGGTGATTTCTGAGCTTTCAGTGAGAAAGTGACTGTATTTACCTTAAGGAAAGAATCCAGGCTGGTGAATGCCGGCTTTCCTTGCAGTAGTTTTCAGTCAGGAGTGTTCAGGACAGGACTGCTAAGCAGCAAAATACTTGCCATTATCACTGATTGCATACAACTCTGAGGCATCTATATTTCAATATAAAGCTTCTGTTGGTGTTTAAATTCCATGCAGGAGGTCACTGTCTAGCAGTTCATGCAGAGCCCACTCACAAGGATTGAATGTTGACCAGAGCATCAGGTTTGTGTGACAAGATTTTAGTAGAGGAGGCTACAGACATGGCTGATGCGAGAAGCTTTCCTTATGTCCAACACAGCTAATACCAGTTGACTCCAACATGGACCATGGACACACCACTGACCAAGGCGGCCAGTGGCAACAGCTCTGGTATAACTTAGTTAAGAAAGGAGGAAAAAATGTGCCACTGTAAGACCAGCAGAAAAGTGGGAATGTTGGAGAGAAGCAGCTCTACAAACACCAAGGGCAGTAAAGAAGGCAGAGAAGTGGTGCTCCGGGCATGGCAGCAGAGTTCCCTCTGCAGCCCGAGGTGGAGACCAAGGTGAGGGAGCTGTGCCCCTGCAGCCCATGGAGGAGCCCAGGCCAGAGCAGATGAATGCTCCCAAAAATGCTGTGACATTATGGAAAGCCCACACTGCACCAGGGTCATGTTTGATTTTAAGGTTTTGCTATTTGTGTTGTGAAATATGGGGACTGGAGAGAGGAGGGCAAAAACTTTGTTTTTGATGTTTCCTTTGCTGTCTTCTTAAGCATTTTGATAGCATCAGATTGTGGAAGAGAACTAAGGATTATCTTCACTGTGAATGGCTTTTGTGCCCTTTCATTTGATTGGCTCATGCAGAAATCACCAAGAGGCTGCAGTGAATCACTCTGACTCATTACCTTGAAGTAATAGGTTAGGATTTTTACAATTTTATCTGGCTGCAAATGTGATTTAAAAATTTTTATATTGTCTTCAAAACATGAATTCACAGAAGGATAAAACCAGAATAAAAATCACTTTTCTTGATTCAGCTAATATTGTCTTCAACAAAATTAAGAGTGGGGGGGCTTCAGCCTTGTTTTGTTTGGAGTTTTTTTTTTTTTAATTTGAAGGAAAGGTTTTTCTACAGGAAAGTACTACCATCAAAACAAACAACTAAAGCATGAAACTGACACTTCTCTGTTCTATTTTTACTGCTCTTACAAGATTTGTTATGTAGTATTTGGCATAAGAGATCCATCGTGCTTTAATTTTCCATCTGTGTAAAGGAAATGATGTGCTATAACATTGTTTGCTATAAAAGGGTATTTTGCTGTTAATGTTTTTTTTGCAGAAATGGTTAATTGCAAGTAACCTAGCAGTTATAGAAGTTAAAACTCCAGTCTGGAAGACCTCTGGAAGTCATCCTCTGTGTGTGGGAGCATCTGTCTATGTGTAACTTTCAGCATTTATTTGTAAATTAGACAAGAAAGCTTAACATCCACATCAGAATAGAACATCTGGCCCTAAAGAGGTCATATTAATGTGTTATAGCAGAGTTAGAGCCAGAATTAAAACCCAAGCTCTTCTTCTTTGAACTACAGACCTAAGACAGTGCAGAGAGGCTTTAATATGAGCTACTACTCTAGGTAATATATTTAGTGAGTGTTAACTTCACTCTTTGCATTGAATATATGTAATTAAACAAACAAAAATTATTAGTTTATATTATTTTGATTCATTTTTTATTTCATGACATGTATAGCCACTCATCTTTAAAGAAGACTCTTTTTTTTGTACCAGTTATCTTATGCATTATGGAAGCTGCAGTGTATCTGAAGCAAACTTATAGTCAAAATATATTTAAACTATAGTATACTTATTGAAGGATACTTTTTCCTAAATCAAATTCAGAATGAATTTAATCCTTGAGGTTTGAGAACTAATAATAGTATTTATAAATTTGTAATAACTAGCAGCCCTGCTTAATGTGCAACTTTTAAATATCTAAATTGTTTTGAAAGATGTTTGACTGGAGTCCTTTAGAAGTGAATGTAAGGGACTAATGTGTGTGTCTCAAACACTGATGTCTGGATGGCTGTGGAGACAACCAAGAATTGTTTCCAATAACTAACACACCAGTTTCCAGGCCAAGCACATAATTTACTAATCAAATTTTGTGGTTTTTTGCAGATCCTCTGACTGTCTTTCGATCACATGCATTCATAAACCTTGGGTGTTCCCTTTCCCT